CCACCATCACCACCACCACCACCATCTGTGGGTCTCTATGAGTCTCTGGATCTCTATGGGTCTCTATGGGTCTCTATGAGTCTCTGTGGGTCTCTATGAGTCTCTGGGTCTCTATGAGTCTCTATGAGTCTCTGGATCTCTGTGTATCTCTGTGGGTCTCTATGAGTCTCTGGATCTCTATGGGTCTCTATGAATCTCTGGATCTCTATGGGTCTTTATGAATCTCTGGATCTCTATGGGTCTCTATGAGTCTCTGGATCTCTATGGGTCTCTGTGGGTCTCTATGAGTCTCTGGATCTCTATGGGTCTCTGTGGGTCTCTATGAGTCTCTGTGGGTCTCTGTGGGTCTCTATGAGTCTCTGGATCTCTATGGGTCTCTATGAGTCTCTGTATCTCTGTGGGTCTCTATGAGTCTCTGTGGGTCTCTGTGGGTCTCTATGAGTCTCTATGAGTCTCTGGGTCTCTATGGGTCTCTATGGATCTCTGGATCTCTATGGGTCTCTATGAGTCTCTATGGGTCTCTATGGATCTCTGGATCTCTATGGGTCTCTGTGGGTCTCTATGAGTCTCTGGATCTCTATGGGTCTCTATGAGTCTCTATGGGTCTCTATGGATCTCTGGATCTCTGTGGATCTCTGTGGGTCTCTATGAGTCTCTGGATCTCTATGGGTCTCTATGGGTCTCTATGAGTCTCTGGATCTCTATGGGTCTCTATGGGTCTCTATGAATCTCTGGATCTCTATGGGTCTCTATGGGTCTCTATGAATCTCTGGATCTCTATGGGTCTCTATGAATCTCTGGATCTCTGTGGGTCTCTATGAGTCTCTGGATCTCTATGGGTCTCTATGGATCTCTATGGGTCTCTGTGGGTCTCTATGAGTCTCTGGGTCTCTATGGGTCTCTATGAATCTCTATGGGTCTCTGTGGGTCTCTATGAGTCTCTGGGTCTCTATGGGTCTCTATGGATCTCTATGGGTCTCTGTGGGTCTCTATGAGTCTCTGGGTCTCTATGGGTCTCTATGAATCTCTGGATCTCTATGGGTCTCTATGAGTCTCTGGATCTCTATGGGTCTCTATGGGTCTCTATGAATCTCTGGATCTCTATGAGTCTCTATGAGTCTCTGGATCTCTATGAGTCTCTATGAGTCTCTGGATCTCTATGGGTCTCTATGAGTCTCTATGGATCTCTATGGGTCTCTATGCTTCTCTATGAGTCTCTTCCTTCCGATATTAGGAAGCCACTGGGCGATTTGATGCCACTTTTAAATCATCATCATCGTCATCCTCTAGATTCACGAAGTCATTTCGTTTCAATTGCTTGTTGGTTCTGCGCCTCCCCTAGGTCCACTCAGCCTCAAATGACTGCCTGGTGTAGCGGTGTAGCTCAGTAAAACATCGCTAGCACTGGGGGAGACAAAGGCGGCCGGGCGTGGTGCTGGCCACCCACCCCCCTCGTAAGCCACAGTGCCGGTAACCTTCATAGGCGCTGCTGCTACTCGCTACTCACAGCACTTGCCCCTGCAGCCTGTCACAGGCTACACGGGGGACCTTTGTCTGTGTATAGGTGCTGCTGCTACTCGCTAACAGCACTTGCCCCTACAGCCTGTTAGAGGCTACACGGGGGACCTTTGCCTTTGGTTACCTTCAACGTCCGTCGGCGGGGATTTCAGTTCAGCGACGAGGCATTGGTAGAAGACACGGTCCCCAAATCCGTCTTGTCGGAGCTCTGAAGACATTGACACAGACACACAGACACACACACACAGACACGTGCACACAGACACGCGCACATACAGACACACAGACACATAGACACACACACACAGACACACACACACAGACACACAGACACACACAGACACATAGACACGGACACACAAACATGCACACACGCACAGACATTTACACACACACACAGGAACACACAGACACACACGCAGACACACACAGACACGCACACACAAACAGACAGGCACACACAGACATGCACACACGCACAGACATTCACACACACGCACACAGATACACACAGACACAGAGAGACACTCACACACACAGAGACACACGCACACACAGACACACACACAGACACAGCGAGACACTCACATACACAGAGACATACGCACACACAGACACACACAGACACACAGAGACACACGCACAGACATTCACACACATACAAAGACAAAGAACCCCCGTATAGCCTTAACAGACTGTTGGGGCAAGTGCTGTTAACGACCTCCTATGAAGGCTACCGGCACTGTGGCACACGAGTGGATGGGTGGCCAGCACCACGCCCGGCCGCCTTTGTCTCCCCAGTGGCGATGTTTACACCAGCTACTCATTTAAGTCTGAGTCGGCCTAGGGGAGTCCCACGACCGGTTCAGATCATCATCATCACCGGTGTTGGCCGTGCATGGGAATCGAACCCGGGTCGCCAGGTTCGCAACGCAGCGCCAACACCAGCAGCCGCCATTCACCACCACGTGACCGTGACGTCACCACGGCGCATGTGCCAGGCTAGGTGCAGGAGGAGGTCACGGGACAGACTACATCTGCAGAACGTGAAGAACCAGTGGCATCTACATCTGCAGAACGTGAAGAACCAGTGGCATCTACATCTGCAGAGCGTGAAGAACCAGTGACATCTACATCTGCAGAACGTGAAGAACCAGTGGCATCTACATCTACAGAACGTAAAGAACCAGTGGCATCTACAGAACGTGAAGAACCAGTGACATCTAGATCTGCAGAGCGTGAAGAACCAGTGACATCTACATCTGCAGAACGTGAAGAACCAGTGGCATCTACATCTGCAGAACGTGAAGAACCAGTGGCATCTAGATCTGCAGAGCGTTAAGAACCAGTGACATCTACATCTGCAGAACGTGAATAACCAGTGGCATCTACATCTGCAGAACGTGAAGAACCAGTGGCATCTACATCTGAAGAACGTGAAGAACCAGTGGCATCTAGATCTGCAGAACGTGAAGAACCAGTGGCATCTACATCTGCAGAGCGTGAAGAACCAGTGGCATCTACATCTACAGAACGTGAAGAACCAGTGGCATCTACATCTGCAGAACCTGAAGAACCAGTGGCATCTACATCTACAGAACGTGAAGAACCAGTGGCATCTACATCTACAGAACCTGAAGAACCAGTGGCATCTACATCCGCAGAACATGAAGAACCAGTGGCGTCTACATCTACAGAACCTGAAGAACCAGTGGCATCTACATCTGCAGAACGTGAAGAACCAGTGGCATCTACATCTGCAGAACGTGCAAAACCAGTGGCATCTACATCTGTAGAACGTGAAGAACCAGTGACATCTACATCTGCAGAACGTGAAGAACCAGTGGCATCTACATCTACAGAACGTGAAGAACCAGTGGCATCTACATCTGCAGAACGTGAAGAACCAGTGGCATCTACATCTACAGAACGTGAAGAACCAGTGGCATCTACATCTACAGAACGTGAAGAACCAGTGGCATCTACATCTGTAGAACGTGAAGAACCAGTGGCATCTACATCTGCAGAACCTGAAGAACCAGTGGCATCTACATCTGCAGAACCTGAAGAACCAGTGGCATCTACATCTGCAGAACGTGAAGAACCAGTGGCATCTACATCTGCAGAATGTGAAGAACCAGAGGCATCTACATCGGTAGAACGTGATGAACCAGTGGCATCTAAATCTACAGAATGTGAAGAACCAGTGGCATCTACATCTGTAGAACGTGAAGAACCAGTGGCATCTACATCTGCAGAACATAAAGTACCAGTGGCATCTACATCTGCAGAACGTGAAGAACCAGTGGCATCGATATCTGCAGAACATAAAGTACCAGTGGCATCTACATCTGCAGTACGTGAAGAACCAGTGGCATCTACATCTGCAGAACGTGAAGAACCAGTGGCATCTACATCTGCAGAACGCGAAGAACCAGTGGCATCTACATCTGCAGAACGTGAAGAACCAGTGGCATCTACATATACAGAACGTGAAGAACCAGTGACATCTACATCTGCAGAACGTGAAGATCCAGTAGCATCTACATCTGTAGAACGTGAAAAACCAGTGGCATCTACATCTGTTGAACGTGAAGAACCAGTGGCATCTACATCCACAGAACGTGAAGAACCAGTGACATCTACATCTGTAGAAGGTGAAGAACCAGTGGCATGTACATCTACAGAATGTGAATAACCAGTGGCATCTACATCTGCAGAACGTGAAGAACCAGTGGCATCTACATCTGCAGAACGTGAAGAACTAGTGGCATCTACATCTGCAGAACGTGAAGAACCAGTGGGCATCTACATCTGCAGAACGTGAAGAACCAGTGGCATCTACAGAATGTGAAGAACCAGTGGCATCTACATCTGCAGAACGTGAAGAACCAGTGGCATCTACATCTGTAGAACGTGAAGAACCAGTGGGCATCTCCATCTGCAGAACGTGAAGAACCAGTGGCATCTACAGAATGTGAAGAACCAGTGGCAGCTACATCTGCAGAACGTGAAGAACCAGTGGCATCTACATCTGTAGAACCTGAATAACCAGTGGCATCTACATCTGTAGAACGTGAAGAACCAGTGCCATCTACATCTGCAGAACGTGAAGAACCAGTGGCATCTACATCTACAGAACGTGAAGAACCAGTGGCATCTACATCTGTAGAACGTGAAGAACCAGTGGCATCTACATCTGCAGAACCTGAAGAACCAGTGGCATCTACATCTGCAGAACCTGAAGAACCAGTGGCATCTACATCTGCAGAACGTGAAGAACCAGTGGCATCTACATCTGCAGAACGTGAAGAACCAGAGGCATCTACATCGGTAGAACGTGATGAACCAGTGGCATCTAAATCTACAGAATGTGAAGAACCAGTGGCATCTACATCTGTAGAACGTGAAGAACCAGTGGCATCTACATCTGCAGAACATAAAGTACCAGTGGCATCTACATCTGCAGAACGTGAAGAACCAGTGGCATCTATATCTGCAGAACATAAAGTACCAGTGGCATCTACATCTGCAGTACGTGAAGAACCAGTGGCATCTACATCTGCAGAACGTGAAGAACCAGTGGCATCTACATCTGCGGAACGCGAAGAACCAGTGGCATCTACATCTGCAGAACGTGAAGAACCAGTGGCATCTACATATACAGAACGTGAAGAACCAGTGACATCTACATCTGCAGAACGTGAAGATCCAGTGGCATCTACATCTGTAGAACGTGAAAAACCAGTGGCATCTACATCTGTTGAACGTGAAGAACCAGTGGCATCTACATCCACAGAACGTGAAGAACCAGTGACATCTACATCTGTAGAAGGTGAAGAACCAGTGGCATGTACATCTACAGAATGTGAATAACCAGTGGCATCTACATCTGCAGAACGTGAAGAAACAGTGGCATCTACATCTGCAGAACGTGAAGAACTAGTGGCATCTACATCTGCAGAACGTGAAGAACCAGTGGGCATCTACATCTGCAGAACGTGAAGAACCAGTGGCATCTACAGAATGTGAAGAACCAGTGGCATCTACATCTGCAGAACATAAAGTACCAGTGGCATCTACATCTGCAGAACGTGAAGAACCAGTGGCATCGATATCTGCAGAACATAAAGTACCAGTGGCATCTACATCTGCAGTACGTGAAGAACCAGTGGCATCTACATCTGCAGAACGTGAAGAACCAGTGGCATCTACATCTGCAGAACGCGAAGAACCAGTGGCATCTACATCTGCAGAACGTGAAGAACCAGTGGCATCTACATATACAGAACGTGAAGAACCAGTGACATCTACATCTGCAGAACGTGAAGATCCAGTGGCATCTACATCTGTAGAACGTGAAAAACCAGTGGCATCTACATCTGTTGAACGTGAAGAACCAGTGGCATCTACATCCACAGAACGTGAAGAACCAGTGACATCTACATCTGTAGAAGGTGAAGAACCAGTGGCATGTACATCTACAGAATGTGAATAACCAGTGGCATCTACATCTGCAGAACGTGAAGAACCAGTGGCATCTACATCTGCAGAACGTGAAGAACTAGTGGCATCTACATCTGCAGAACGTGAAGAACCAGTGGGCATCTACATCTGCAGAACGTGAAGAACCAGTGGCATCTACAGAATGTGAAGAACCAGTGGCATCTACATCTGCAGAACGTGAAGAACCAGTGGCATCTACATCTGTAGAACGTGAAGAACCAGTGGGCATCTCCATCTGCAGAACGTGAATAACCAGTGGCATCTACAGAATGTGAAGAACCAGTGGCAGCTACATCTGCAGAACGTGAAGAACCAGTGGCATCTACATCTGTAGAACCTGAATAACCAGTGGCATCTACATCTGTAGAACGTGAAGAACCAGTGCCATCTACATCTGCAGAACGTGAAGAACCAGTGCCATCTACATCTACAGAACGTGAAGAACCAGTGGCATCTACATCTGTAGAACGTGAAGAACCAGTGGCATCTACATCTGCAGAACCTGAAGAACCAGTGGCATCTACATCTGCAGAACCTGAAGAACCAGTGGCATCTACATCTGCAGAACGTGAAGAACCAGTGGCATCTACATCTGCAGAACGTGAAGAACCAGAGGCATCTACATCGGTAGAACGTGATGAACCAGTGGCATCTAAATCTACAGAATGTGAAGAACCAGTGGCATCTACATCTGTAGAACGT